ACCATTAGAGCATCCAAAGGAAGACAATGGCAAAATCATTATCTTAGTTGGGAAGCTTCCGGTGCCTATTTTGGAAAAAATGACACATCAGATTTCCAGCTGCAACTTCCCACCTAAACCTAATTAATTCTGGAAGTCTCTAGCACCTTATAGAGGCTGGAAAAGATGGTCTTAGAAGTTAGTTTTCATTCAGAAAAAAACGGTGCATCATTTAAGGTCTTGAGTCAAAAGTTGTGCAAGTTTCCATGCAACCTGTCCAGGAATTTCTTACAGCGCGAGGCTCAACAAGTTTGCTCTTGCTACAGCTTGGGGCTCACGAATTTACCCTTCTTTTTGAGTTGTTTTCACACCTATGTAGTGGGTGCTTCTAGTATAAATACTCCCCAGCTGTTCCATGTGAAGGGGATGAGATTTCTGAGTTTATGTTTGTAGACATCCGGTGAGGTTGTGTTGTGCTGTGAGCACTAGTATCATTGAGTGTTAGCTCGTGTGTGTGGATTGGAGGGCCTGTCCTCAATTCATATAGGATCCTTGTGGTTCCCTCTTGTGATTCTTCATAGGTTCACAAGCTTCCTGGTTTGGGTTGCATCCTTGTAAACCAAGCTAGTTATCCGCTGCAATTTATCTAAGAGTGTTTCCTCTTGTTTTTGCCACTTGAGAGAAACAAAGTGTGTTGAAACAAGTATCGAGTGAGTTTGTTGCTGCTCCTTGTGAGTTCTTTGGCACCGTGAAAGATCGTTTCCGAGGCGTCCCATATCATCTTGGCATCAGAGCTTTAGGTTGTTCGCGGTGCTATTTTCTCTCTTGCTGATTTTGTTCTTGAGAAGCTTCCATGGGTTCGAGGAGATCCAGCAGTGTTGATGGTGTGCATGGAGGTAGGCACCTCGTGGAGGAGGAGCTGCCACTTCCCGTGTACGATCCCAGCTTGCAGCCCGCCTATGTGTTGGCATTGGAGAATACACGAGAGTATGTGTTGAACAAGGTGGAGAGGCGCATATCGGCCGTGGAGACCAACCTTGGCCGGAGAATCGACTCCCTCACCGAGGAACTCCGTCGAGATAGGCTTGCTACACGGGGTCGACATCGACAAATCCCTGAACAGCAGGGCCAACGCCACCTTGAGGAGGAGCATGGAGAGCACAACCACGTCTACTCGGGTGATGCTCATAGCTACTACGCTGCACCACCTCGGCGTGCTCGCTACGACCAGCGAGGTGCTACTTGGGCGCCACCGTCGCCACCACGAGATGAGCTTGCGGCACGGGGTCGACATCGACAACTCCCCATACATCAGGACCACCATGGAGAGCATTGGAGCGACCACTCCGATGATGCTCGAAACTACTACGAGCCTCGACCACGACGTGTTCATCATGATCGTCGCGGAGAAGGCCAAGAAGGCTTTGCCATGGGAGGAAGAGGTCATGGGCATGCTCATCGTGACCATGAAGATGATGGGATTGATAAATTCAAACTTACCATACCATCATTCAATGGGAAAACCGAGCCCGATGATTATTTGGAGTGGGAGATGCGTGTGGATCAGATTTTTGACAGCCACCGCTATACGGAGGAGAAGAAGGTACGATATGCATCCATTGAGTTTACTGGGTATGCTTTGATTTGGTGGAACCAATTGTGTCGTGCTGGAGGTTGTCCGGAGACATGGGTGCAAATGAAAAATCTATTGCGGAGACGGTTTGTTTCTGAACATTTCACAAGAACCTTGTACAATCGACTCCAACGGTTGTGCCAAGGTAATTCTAGTGTTGATGAGTACTATAAAGAGATGGAGATTTTGATGATTAGGACAGCAGTGAATGAGCCAGAGGAGGCCACAATGTCAAGATTCTTTCATGGACTGAATGAAGATGTGCAAGAAAGGATAGAGATGGTTACATATCAAGATTGGCAAGAACTTGTCCATCAAGATATTCGTGTAGAGCAGCAGCCGAAGCGTCGCCAAAATCGCAACCAAACCTATACATCAAGCACTTGGAGAGGTTCAGTTCAGCGAGAAGTAGACGGAAGTGTTGCTGCAGATTCTTGCTCACACAACAAGATGACTACAAAAAAAGCTAATGCATCAAAGGTTGAATCTTCCAATACTCCTGCCACTCGCATTAGTAATATTCAGTGCCATACATGCAAGGGTAGAGGTAACTTCAAGAAGGATTGTCCTAATCTGAAGAAGGTTTTACTCACAAATGATGGATATGTCACCGATGACTCAAGTGACAAATCTGAATCTGAGAAGAAAGATGCAAATTATTGTACTTTTGAGACCGGAGCACCTCTGAGTTCAGATGGAGGAGATGGTGTTAATCTCATGGTTCGCAAAGTGGCTCATGATGATGCTCCTATTATTGAGAAGGGCCAGCGACAAAATATGTTCCAATCCATTTGCAAGATCAAGGACAAAAACTGCAAGGTGGTCATCGATGGAGGCAGCTACAACAACATCATTAGTAGTGATCTTGTGCATGCTCTTGGGATATCAACATGGAGGCAGCCCCAGCCATATTATGTGAAGTGGCTGAATGGTGTTGGTAAGCTGAAGATTACGCATCGTGCTAGGGTGCAATTTTCAGTGGGAAGTTATGTGGACAGAGTGGTATGTGATGTGGTGCCAATGTAAGCTTGTCATCTTCTTTTGGGAAGACCGTGGCAGTTTGATCATGATGCTACTCACCATGGGAGGTCTAACAAGTATTCTTTCATGCATCAAGGAGGGAACCATGTCTTGGAACCTATGGTGGATCAAGTACTCAAGGTTGAGCAATTCCCACAAGTGAAGAAGCCCAAAAAGAATACCTCAAAATCGAGGACGGTTTTGTCTGAAGGAAGGGAGGATGATGTGGACCAGATCATGATCAAGGCATCCAAGAGTGAGGTTAATGCTATCACAAATGCTGAACCATTAGAGCATCCAAAGGAAGACAATGGCAAAACCATTATCTTAGTTGGGAAGCTTCCGGTGCCTATTTTAGGAAAAATCACACATCAGATTTCCAGCTGCAACTTCCCACCTAAACCTAATTAATTCTGGAAGTCTCTAGCACCTTATAGAGGCTGGAAAAGATGGTCTTAGAAGTCAGCTTTCATTCAAAAAAACGGTGCATCATTTGAGGTCTTGAGTCAAAAGTTGTGCAAGTTTCCATGCAAGTTGTCCAGGAATTTATTACAGCGCGAGGCTCAACAAGTTTGCTCCTGCTACAGCTTGGGGCTCACGAATTTACCCTTCTTTTTTGAGTTGTTTTCACACCTATCTAGTGGGTGCTTCTAGTATAAATACTCCCCAGCTGTTCCATGTGAAGGGGATGAGATTTCTGAGTTTATGTTTGTAGACAGCCGGTGAGGTTGTGTTGTGCTGTGAGCACTAGTATCGTTGAGTGTTAGCTCATGTGTGTGGATTGGAGGGCCCGTCCTCAATTCATATAGGATCCTTGTGGTTCCCTCTTGTGATTCTTCATAGGTTCACAAGCTTCCTAGTTTGGGTTGCATCCTTGTAAACCAAGCTAGTTATCCACTGCAATTTATCTGAGAGTGTTTCCTCTTGTTTTTGCCACTTGAGAGAAACAAAGTGTGTTGAAACAAGTATCGAGTCAGTTTGTTGCTGCTCCTTGTGAGTTCTTTGGCACCGTGAAAGATCGTTTCCGAGGCGTCCCGTATCACACAATTCATTTGCATTCGAGTGGTTAGTTGCGGTTGCGGGTACGAAATTTGGCTACAATAATCAATTCTTTCCAAAATAAGGAGATACGGGCCCTGATGTCATAGAAGAAGGCCACCAGCCACAAATCATGGCTGCCTACTGCAACAAAGCTCCTTGAGCTAACACACAAATCATTTGCATTCCAGTGATTAATTGCGGGGGTTGCGGGTACAAAATTCGGCTACAGTCATCATTTTTTTCCCAAAATAAGGAGATCGAATTGTAAGAAGATTAGATGAGAGAATCAACGCAATGGATTGTGTGTCGTATTGATGCTCGAGGGTAAGAAACCTCCTAAAAATAAGATGGAAACAATTCCTATCTAATTTCGGAAAATCCTAACTACCAAAATAAGATGGAAACAATTCCATCCGTTCCTTTATATTAGGTGTATTTGTTTTTTGATAAAATTTCACAATATAAGGTGCATTTGTTCTAGTTACTCATAATTCCGTTCTTGTCCCCCTAGAAAATGGGAAAGTATGCCTCACCTGATTGCATGTATCTCTCACCGTAGAAAAAAAAAGAAAATTATCTCTCGTCCGATTGTGTGTATCTCCCTTTCCTAGTCTAAATTATTTACTTGCTGCTAATGAACGAAATTGACAAGGGTAATTTTGTCCTAAATTGTCTATAATAACGTGTCTTGGTCATCGTGCCAAAAATAATACACCTTACATAAAGGAATGGAGGGAGTATAAGGTTTCTGGCCAACTTGCTCCCACGGTGATCCCCGATTGGGGTGTTCCTGTCCGTTCGATCGGCTGATAGATCGCATTTTAACTGTCCAATTTTACTGTTTGGTGAAAACTTTTGTTACATCTCTTATTTATTTTGTAGGTCACTGACAATGGACCATTGAGATCGTTGTTCCACACCACAGCGAAGTGCTCGTCGCTTGATCTTGGTGCGAATTGAATTCGTGGACTGGCGGAACCTAGGTTTCCACCCCGCACGGGAGATGCTCCTGTCTATATCCAACATGATAGAGACAACAACCTGGTCCACACTCCACTCCACAACTTCATAAATATTTATCAACATGATCGTATGAGTCATTATCCAGATAACCTATTCTTTGGAAGAGACAAACATGTGGTCTGTTGACTATAAATGTGCTGATGCAATCCCTGATGCAAGATCAATTGGTTTGGCAGACCCTTATATGAACATGTGTGGGCATATATATACCAGACTATCGTCCTTGTCATCCTCGTCCACGGGGAGAGTGACACATTTTGCTCTTGCAAATTTGTCATACTCCATTCTAGCGCGAAAAACCACAATGGCTGCTGCTGCTGCTGCTCATCTAGCTGCTCAGCCTCGTGTCATGGTGCTACCCTTTCCTGCGCAGGGCCACGTCATCCCGCTCATGGAGCTGTCGCGCAAGCTCGTCGAGCACGGCTTCGAGATCGACTTCGTGAACACCGAGTTCAACCACGACCGCGTCCTCCAGGCCTTGGCAGAGGACGGAGCAATCCCAGGAGGAATTCAACATGCTCTCCGTACCGGACGGCCCGGGGCCGGCCGACGTCCACACCGACATCGGCGCACTGGTCAAGGGACTACCGGCCGCTATGTCCGGCCGCCTCGAGGGGATGATCAGGTCGAGGAAGACCAAGTGGATGATAGCGGACGTGTCCATGAGCTGGGCCCTGGAGCTGGCCACCACGGCGGGCGTCCGTGTCGCCTTGTTCTCCACGTACTCTACAGCCGTGTTCGCGCTCAGGTTGAAGCTCCCAAAGCTGATAGAGGATGGTGTTGTTGATGAAATTGGTAAGAGCAAATCGAAATTTCCATCTCCATGTAACTCGTTAGTTTCCTAGTCTTTTCTTGGTATGTCGACTTTACACCATGAACATGGACACCACGTACGGAACGCAGGGAACGTGAAGAGGCACGAGAGGGTCCAGCTGATGCCGCCCGTTGACGCGGCAGAGATTCCTTGGGTCAGCCTTGGCAGCACCACGGAGAGGCGCAGAACCAACATCCAGAACGTCCTCAGGACCAACGGTTGATGCCGCTAGCTGAGACGATCATATGCAACACTTTCATGGGGATGGAACCTGACGCTCTGGCTCGGCCCGCTGGTAGCGCCGACGTCAAGGCTGACCGGACATTTCCTGCCAGAAGACCTCACTTGCCTCGCCTGGCTCGACACGCAGGCCCCCGGCCCCGTCGTCTACGTCGCCTTCGGGAGCTCCGGCATCTTGGACGCGACGCAGTTCCAAGAGCTTGCCGACGGGCTCGCGCTCTCCGGCCAACCGTTCCTGTGGGTCGTCCGGCCAAACTTCACCACCGGAGCCACAAAAGGTTGGTTCGACGCGTCCAAGCGCCGCGTCGAGGGCAAGGGGCTGGTCGTCGGCTGGGCGCCACAGCAGCGCGTGCTCTCGCACCCCGCCGTCGCCTGTTTCATGTCTCACTGCGGGTGAAACTCGACCATGGAAGGCATGCTGCACGGCGTGCCGTTCCTCTGCTGGCCGTACTTCGCTGACCAGTTCGCCAACCAGAGCTACGTGTGCAACGTGTGGGGCACCGGCATCAAGCTTTGCCGAGACGAGCGAGGGGTCGTCACCAAGGAGGAGATCGAGAGCAAGGTGCCACGGCTGCTCGGCGACGAGGGGGTCAAGGCGAGGGCTGCGACGTGGAAGGACAAGGCTTGTGCGAGCATTGCAGAGGGAGGATCCTCGCATCAGTGCCTTCTCAAGATTGTGAACTTGCTCGGAGAGGCGGGATCCCATCCCATCACCGCGTGATCACGACACCAGACATCGGACGGCTCTGAACATCTACGTTGATATACAAAAAGTAAAAGTCAAACATCTTAGATATATAGCAACAAAAAATAATGGTTTGGTATAGTAGCAACAAAAAAAACTAGTGAAATGGTCAACAAGGCTCAAGGCATGATCTTCCTGCGTGTTAGAATAACAAGTAGAACGCCCGTGCGTTGCCACGGGCATTTGAAATATTTTATTGAAGTTATATATATATAAATATAATGCATGTTAAATTTCACATGCATACAAAAAATAGCCAGTAACAATCGGGTAATAATTGAAAGCAATGATCCAACTAATAATCTGTAAGTACATAGAGAGCAATGATCCAACTAAGAATCTGTAATGAATTAATATCTACTTGATGGGCTTAAGATATTCTCAATATCAGAACTGTTATGTTTAGGTTCATACGCACAATATTTGAGCAAGTATAATAAAATTTCTTCCTCTACTCATAATCATCTTGCATAAGCAATATATATAGTTAGCACGGATATTTCACATGGAAGGTCCAAAAATATGCAACGGAGAATACTCATCGTGCAAACTGGACGAATCAAATCTTTACCGTTCCACGAGAGCATAAAATCAAAAACAAAGAGACAGACACATCCATGCAGTTGAATATATTAGTATTATCTTGAATATAGTAATAACAAAATAAATGTTTGTACCTTGAATATTATGATAATGAGATATATAAATTTACCCGTCCATGCTCGTTGGAATACCAGTCGAAAATATATGTTGCCATCTAGATATATCAGAATTCCATCTGGATTGCGCTATTTTGAGTGCGTTGTTGAATTCACTTCCAATTTTTTGAAATTTCACTAAATGTCTCAAAGTTTTAAACTCTGGCGACTGTGTTGTATGAAGAGTCCAAACTGTATACAAGGCGGACCTTCTGTGGATTGTGGTGTCCATCGAAAGGTCTTTGTGAGGGTCCTCGCCCTAGATCGGGTGGCTGTCTTCAATGCAGAGTTGCAAATTACAGGCGACGACTTGACGCAAAGAATGGTTGTGCACCGACAGCGTACATCACATGTATCTGCTGAGATCTTTTTTCTTTTTGCGAATGTGTACCTGCTGAGATCGTGGAAAATTGGTGGCGCAACACATAAATGACGTCGATGGCGATGCTATTTGAGCACCCAATCTCGAGCTTTGGGGTGGAAGCCTAGGTCTGACTTGTATATCAGTTATACCGAGCAATGTCGAGGTTTTTACGTCGTTACCTTGTTGAAGGCATTGTTCGGCTTAGACTGGTTTTTCAGGATGAAAACCTAGATTCTCTCCTTCGATGGTTGGATATGGTGTCTTCTTCTCTTGCAACTTCTTCTTCTCAACTTCTTGGTTCTGTCCTCAACAGAAACTTTATCATCTTTTCAGTTACATAACAAGACGTTTTAGCTAAAAAAACTCCATCTGGTCAAACTATAAAGGGCATCTGGTCAAAGTATCAAAACAATATGTAGAGGCCCAAAATCTTGGTTGCCTTGCTAGTACGCACTCACAATGTAATGTTTAGCATACATAATTGATCCTAGCAGTCCCATTAGGGCATGCCCAATGGGTAGCCTCAGCCTGCTGCCCCGCGGGCACACGTAGGTTCAGAACTGGGTTCGGACTAAAAGGTATTGCCCTGCAGTAGCAAGTGTAGCCTGCAGAAGAGACAGCTTCTTCTGGCATGAAAAGCCAAGAAAGCAAGAAAAGGCATGCTGCACTGATGCATGCAAGAGATGGATAGAGAGAGCGGAAATTAAATAATGCTTTGCATGTGAAGGACAGTGGGTCCGCTACATAGGGTGGCCTATGTTGGAGAGAATTTTTCCAAAATGATAGCTTCATTACTTTTTGATTAGTTTAAGAGCTGAGGCAACACCAGGGTGATGTCTCCATTGCATATGCCCTTAGTGTACATAATTGATCCTAGCAGTCCCATGAGTGATCATTTTGCAGAAGAAAAGGCTTTAGACTTTTAGTCCATTAGCATCAAAAGAAAGCGTCACATTTAGAAAAGTAGTATATATGAATAAAAGGGAAGCAATATGCATAAATAGCAAGATATTCTATGATACACACACACACATTTCCGATGGTCCACACACATTTTCGATGGACCCAACCTCTGCATCTGTGAATTGCCGCACCTAGCCACTACAAGAAGAGAGGAGCACAGTAGCACGACAACTGCCGGTGACGCAAGTGTAATGGAACAAACCTGATATTAACGACGCTGCCATGCTCCTTGAGGCATGAAAAAAGCAGCCGAGCCATGGTCGCGCTAGTTGGGTCTCCTCGACCGCGAAACGGTGTAGCGACGGGAAGGAACCGGCGCCGCTGGATGCAGAGGTTGGGTCAATGTGGCCTCCGGCCGCGACGCCGATGAGGACAAGGGCGAACTTAGCCATGCGGTCAGGTGACGCCGCCGCCGACGAATCGCAACTTACCTGCAGCACAACAAAGACGCAAGTATGTTCAAATCGTAAGTCTATCGAGACTGACCTCAAGAATCAGGGGTAGAGGTAAGGGGAACACGAACTGAGATGGAGAGTGTGGGAGAGCATCGGGGCATGGCCGACGGCCAAATCAGCACCATATTAGCGACGGTACTGAGGCCAAGAGCTCTTGCCCATGCTCTCATCGTCGCCCACGATGGGAAGCGCGAGGCATTCGGTGATGGCGGATCCAGATGATGCTGATCTCCAATGCCGCCCGCGAGATGGGAAGAAAACTAACTGTCGGCGTCGCCGCTGCACTTTACCAGAGGGCCACCTGCTGCAGCTATGGCCGCTGGCAGGGGCAGTAGTGGAGGGCGCCGTCGCGCAACTTGCACCCGCGTCAGGAGCATCCGAAGATGTGGAGTAACCTGTTGGAAATATGAGCAATTTACCGAATAATTTTATTAACAGAAATACTAGATAAAGCATGACTAAAACAGCAAATATAAAGCAAGTCATGCAATCTGACAGAGAGAAGGTAAACATCATCTGCATATATGAACTTGAGCTAAACACATGTAGAACAGACACTAGATGAAGTTGCTTATACGACATAGTACCTAACATACGTAGGGCAGAAACTAGAGCCAAGAACTGTAGCAGGACTTCTAACAGAAAGGAGAAGAACACGTACGGCACAGCAGCAGCAGAAGCCCTGGACTTGGGGTCGGTGTCCTCGCCTGCCATGTCGTTGAGGAGGTCGTGGACGTCGGGAAAGAAGTCGTCGTCGGGGAAGTAGTCATCGGCGACCGGATCGTCCGTGATGAAGCAGCCAGTAGTCGCGCTGAGCTCTCCCCAAAAACCTTATCACCCTTCTCCCGTACAGGACTCAAAAGGTGCGGTCTCGGAGGCCTACTGTCCCGACGCGCGGTGCACGCCGCAAGCCGGGATGAGGAAGACAGCAATAGCGTAGAGTTTGGAACTGTTTGGCGAGAGGAAGAGGACCTTCTAATGTGTATCTCGGGAGAGGAGCGACCTCTCTTATATAGGCACAGCAGAGGGACGCGAACAGGCTGCGCCGGGAGGTGAAGCAACAGAGGGAGACGAAGTGAACAGGCAGCACGCGAAGAGGTGCGCCGTTCGTATTCATTATCCACTACCGCAAAACTTTTCAGCTCCCACGTGACCTTTCGTATACCCGTAGCGCGTGACAAAAATTAGACATCGGCTCGGCTCATTCCCGCAACCCGTCGTGACGTGGCGAGGCGGGCGGCGGAGGAGGAGCGCGCGTGGATGTCCCTCTTGTTCTCATGCTCATACAAGTGAGGAAGGAGCCTCCCTTATAAAGAGGTCCAACTCCCTCTAAACTAGCAATGTGGGACTAAACTTTAGTAGTATCCCTTGCCTTGCACAAATGGGCTAAGTGGGCCTCTAGGATTTATTAGGAATTTCTGAAATAGTTATTGGGCTGCCCCAATATAGACTAAATTCCAGCATAACCGCCAGTGGCCGCGAGGTCGCATGATATTGCAGCAGCGAGA